CCCAAAACACTAGGTCATTGGCCAGGAAGGGGCCTAAAGATCAAGGTCATAAGGGCCTAGACAATTCAGTGCACACCCAGAGCCCCAGATGTACCTGGGAAAGGCTGCTCAGTGGACACTGGATTCCATGCTGAGCTGGAACCTCAGCAGAAGCTCATGTGAAGACACCCTGGTGTGTGAGAACACCCCTGGACATGTGGGACCCATGCACGGTCTTATCAAGGGTGTGAGTGGGAAAACTAGATGTAACCCTTGGGCTTTGCCTCCTCTCCATGCTGCTCTCTTGCTGCTCCGAGGGTCGGAAGGCACAGGACAGAAGTTCGAGGCCCAGCCCAGCCTTCTGTCCCTCCACCTCATACACTCTGTAGTAAGGCTATCTCCTTTGGGACTTGACATAGCCAGTGCCATTATGCAGCTGAGCAGCTGTGGTGATCTGTGGAGATCTTGGATTGCAGTCATGGCAATGAGAAACAGCTTTGAGCAGATAGCTGTCTCTGGGAATGAGGCTAACAGCCCCTCTGGGAGAGGGAGGGAGAGTTATAGACCTTTCCCTGCAATTGCAATCACCACTCCCTCCTACCCAACTACTCCAGTGCTAAAGTATAAGAGGTAAAATATTTATGGTGAGGCCATGGGAGCCTTTTGGTTTGCACCCACCTGTCTTACCCATGCTATCCTGTAAGAAGACCCAATAAACCCATTTATTTGTTAAGCTGGACTTGGAATCTTTCTTTAAGCCCACTGGCTCCTTCCCTATTTGGAGTGAATAAATGTTTCTCTTATGTCTCCCCAGGAATGTCAGGATTTGACAAATGTGAATGTTGTGGCACATGACTGGAATTCTAGTACTCAGGAGGTTGAAGTTCACAGGAGGGTTGCCGAGTCTGAGGTGATCTGGGCTTCAAAGTGACACTGTCACATCTCCATATATACCAAAGAAAAGTCACAAGAAACCCACCTCACAGCATCCACTTGCCTGTCACCTCTGTGGCTGCAGGGCTCTCCTACCAACAGGCCCAGCTCTCAGGCTCTGACAAAGAACCTGGCCCGGGCCACCGTCTGGGTGAAGTTCATCTGAGGCACTGCTGGCCTCCCTCCCCTGCAGGAGGGGAGCCTCACACAGGGATGGCTACATTTTATTTTTAAGATAGGATCTCATATATGGCCCAGGTTGGCTTCACTCCTGTCATGCCACTATGCTCAGATTTGTGGGTGCTGGAGATTGAACCCAGAACTCTGTGCATGCTAGGCCAGCAATCCATCAACTAAGCCAGACACGCATCCCTCCTTGGTCACTTTTTCTGAAGGGCTAGGCTGCAAACATTTAAAGATCCCAAGGTCTCCCTTGAAGCCTCCCAACTCTTATTCAAAGTAGTGACTATCACTATGTTAAACAAATGTTCATGGCTCTGTGTCAATAAAACTTTATTACAAAAACAGGCAGTGGCATGTAAACTCCTGACCCTGATGTTAAAGAACCCTCAAAGGGCCTGATTAGCTTCCTCCATGTCTAGCATGTGAGGACTCCTCAACCCACAGCTTCTGTGCGCTTGATGATGCCAATGCATTAACTTCCCAGCGGCCATGAGGTGAACGCCACTACTTTTGGGCAGCAGACTTATGCTGGAACATCTGGAAGCATCCAGTATGTCCTGTCCACTCTGTCCTGTGAGGAGCCTGGACACAGGACACAGAACAGCAGCTGCAATCCCTGGTCTACATTTGTAGAGCCAAAAAGCTGGGTGGCAGGCATGTGTAACCACTCCTAAACTCCGTGTAGAAGCAGAGGTTCCCCCCACCCCCTCTCTCTTTCCAAGTCAGGGTTTCTCTGTGTACCTTTAACTGTCCTGGAACCAGTTCTGTAGACCAGGCTGACCTTGAACTGAGAGATTCACCTGCCTCTGCCTCCTGAGTGCTGGGATGAAAGGTGTGTACCACCCCCATGCAGAGGCCCCTCTGAAGGGACCCAAGTGGAAGGAGAACATGCTGCCCTGGGATTTTGGGTCCTACTTGAGAGAAATGCTAAAATCAGTAACGGCTGCAGAAGGAGCTTCAGGCTCAGCTGCTCCTTTTCTGTTAGTTCAACTGAGATGGTTGGTAAGAGGCCCAGCCCCGTGCCCATGCTTTCTGTTCCCCCAAACCTGCAGCAACAGGGCATGTGACACAAAGCTGTGTGACAGCAGAATTGAGTTTTCAGTGACTGAGATTGCAGCTAAGGCCAGTGAGTGGGCAATGCAGCTGGGATGAGAGGCAACCACATCACACATGGTGGGACTGGTGAGCCTACCCTTGTACACTGAAACAGACAACTGCAGGAAGGGAGGCACTGATGACAAGGCCATAGGCAGGGAAACACTGGAGGTTTCCTGCTCAGAGCCCTGATGAAGACTCTTGCCTAGGCAAGGCCTGGCTTTCCAGGAGGTACCTGCATCTTGGCTAACTCAAGGTCCACCTTTTGGCTGGTGTCCTCTTGGTTTTTCTGCAGAGTGCTACAGGCTGCTTCCCGGCCCTGTTCCTCTTGGCTCAGCATGCCAGTCAGGTTGGTCAGTCTAGAGGCAATGGGTGTGGTAACACCAACTCAGTTAGGGAACCATGGGACACTGGTGGGCTTTTAGGCCTTTAGGTCCTTCTCAGGCTGAGGTACACAACCCACCCAGGTGACACATGGAAATAGACCTTGGAGGTCCCTAGTGAGAGCAAGGCATCAAATGAAAAAGAGCAGGCAGGTGGGGCCCCCAGTAGTGAGAAGTACAGTATTCATGTTACAAGATGCTCCCTGGGGACACTGAGGGCTCAAGATGGAAGACCTCAGCCTTGTTCTGGCCTGAGATTTCCAGTGTGTATACAAAACTGGTTTCCAGCTAGTCCAAGGAGTTGGCCCACCTGAGGTTTATCTCCTGCTCGGAATGTTTCCGCTCTGAGTCCTGTAGAGCCTGTTTCCTCCTGATGTGTGTCAAAGCCTCCCGGACCTCCACTAGCCTGGTGGAAGGAGTGGCCCTGCTAGCCCCAGAGCAGCTAGGCAGCATCTGTTGCTGCAGGTCTGGCCATGAGGCTGTGCAACCCGTCTCCCACCACCTGTATAGCCTGCCCCAGTGTGTGCAGAGCCAGTCTGAATTGGGACTACTATAGGTATTGTTTACTTAAACGAGATCCATGTAGGCCCTAACACCAGCTACTGCAGGGAAGCATGGGACCCAGGCCTTCCCTCTGAAGCTTGTACTTGTCTCTCTCTCTCTCTGTACCTTTTATCCAGGGTTTGCATCTGGTTCTGGCTCTGGGGCACAGATAACTGCAAAGAGGAGGAAACAAGGGCTAGGCAGGTTGAATCTGTGCCTACCGAGTTCCTGCAGCACAGATGCAGGAGAATATGAAGGAGTCAGAGCTTGAAACAATTGGGATCAGTAGTGTCAGGATCCAGGAAGTGTCCCAAGTATCAGGAACAGGATAGCTTACTCGTGTATCTCCTGCTTTGCGACTCACCTCGAGCCCCTCCTTCTCTGGGCTCCAGGCTGCCTGCTGAATTTCTTGCCTCAGCTGGCGCAGCTCTGAGGCCTGCATCTGCACACGGGCACGGACCTGCAGCAGCTCACGAAGCAGACCCAATGTGGCATGCTCACAGCGTTCCTTGTGTCCCCTCAGGCGAACCACCTCAGCCTGCAGCTCAGCTACCCTGATGAGGGCCAAGAGCAGGTGGGTCAAACTGTGCCTCTCCTGGTAACTTGCCTTACCCCACCACACAGCCTTCTCTCATACTCTGAGGCTCACCACTGTTCCAGCTGTTTCCACTGCTTAGGGGTGTCCTGTTCAGGAACTAAGGAGCCAGGCACCAGGCCACTGCACTCGTATCTCTCCGAGGCCTCGGCACTCAAGGGCTCAGGACTGGCTAGGCCTTCTGTTAAGAGAAGCTCCAGGTCGTCGAGCTCGGCAGTACACAGTTGTGTCGGTGAAAGCCCTAGCGAGGGGCCATCTGCTGGCTCTGGAAGAAGGCACCTTGGGAGCTTGTGCACAAGAATGGTAGTAGTGCCTGTAATGTTGCTCACTGTCACCCTGACCTCAGAGCCTCACATAGATCACATAGATCAGCCCTTCTGAAGGTCCAGGTAAGAGGGGTTGAGGGCCCTGGGGGAGGACACACAGTACTAGGAAGCAGAGTAGGAAAGAGGTTCCACCTAGCCAGCTCCATGAGAACCTGTGAGGTCTAAAAGCAGGACTACGCTGTACATCCCCTCCTCTCCGCTCACCTGACATGGCTTCGCCAGGCGAAGCCACCACCTGTAGCTCAGGTAATGGTATCAGTGCCCCTGTGGCTGCCTGAAGCTGGACACCAGGCCAGGGAGGGCCAAGTGGTTGGCTGGAGAGAAGTAATCCAGGCCAGAAAGCTGCAGGAGCTGGGGACCAATTGAGGGATAGAAGAGAAGGCTTTGGGCCACAGAGTAGGCAAGGATTTAGAAAAGGCTGTGGACTCAAGGAAGTCAGGGTCAAGAGGAAGGTTTGGATCTTGGGGAGAAGACAAGGGTTGAGAGTGGAGACTGAACCTTCGGGAGATGAGTCAGGAAGAGGCTGTGGACCCCTGATAGTAGTGGAGGTTTGAGGTAGCGACTCCTGTCCTTCCACTTTGCCTCTTCAGTGAATCCTGAAGGAGGCAGGTACAGCTGAGTTATTCTGGAACCTTCTTTTTCTCACCAGAACCCTATGACTTCATGGCCAACTGCCAGTGGAACTTGAGTCCTCATCTGCCCTGTCCTGCACACTCTCTAACTTCTGGTTCCTGGATTTGGGGGGACAATGAAGCATCCCCCTTGCAGAAGACCCTCCTCTGGCTCTGGGGCTACTGGGTTATGGCCATGAAGAGGTTGTTCAGGAATCATCACAGATTTGAGTCACAGAGAGCAGAAGGCAAGGGTCCTAGGCAGATGGGACACAGATACAAAGAGGGTGATGCCACAGAATAGGCCACTGGGATTTCAGCCTTCCCAAGAGGCAAAATAAGACTACTGGGAGAGACAAACTTTGATTGTTTTATTTAACCTAATATATCCAAAAATATCATTTCAACATGTAGTCAACACACAACTGTGGACAGATTGCACATGCTTTTTTGGTACCAAGTCTTTGAGACCCTGTGCATGTTTTTCACCCCTTGGGTCCAACTTTAGGTACAACTCTTCCTGATCCAGAGTGCCCCTGGCATTGTCACTTGGACCTGCCCGTTAGGCAGGCCAGTTTTAACTTCTCGAAGAGCCTGCTATGCCCAGGCTTGAGGCCAGGATGTCATCCAAGCAGGCTGCAGAACCCATACTCTGCAGTGTGCCTGAGAGCAAGTACGAGATGGGAAGAGAAGGCCATGGTCCCTGGACGGTCCTCCCACTGGGCCCTGGTCTGGCTGCAATACCTTTCAAGAACTGCACCACTGCCTACCAGAGACACCAGCTACTGTTTACAGAAGTGCTGTCTGCACTGGTTTCTCAGCATGCTGAGTGCCTGACTCCCCAGAATACTGAGCCCGAGGCAGAGAACTCATTTCTTGCTCCAGACAACATACTTAGGCCCATCTCCTCATGGAAGGAAGAGCCACTCTTCTGGAGGGACAACTGAAAGGCAGGAGCTGCCAGCTTTCCAAAGACCTGTGTGGCCTTGTAACAGACTCCTGCCAGAGACACTGCAACTATCTTTACAAAGTGTCCTGGGGGAAGACTCTGAAGGTGACTGAGGGACGTCAGGTCCAGCTTGCTCCAGTGGAGCCAGCTTTGACAATACAGAGTTTAAGGGTGAGGTTCCTTGGCTCTGGTGCCCACAGGTCCATCCATCCTAGGGCTGCCCCAGAATAGTCAGGCCCTGGGAGGCCACTTCCCAAGGGCGTACCACACAGTACAGTAGTAAGCAGGCTACTATGGATTCCAGGACCTAAGTGCTGCGAAAAGACCTGCTTTCTGGCTGTGGTCCAGTGCCATGACCCCCAGGTCTAAAAGCCTAGGGCAGATGTAGGTGAACTCAAATTCAGTCTTCATGCAATTTTCAGATCACAAGTCCCAGGCATAGAACCAGTCTCCCCATCTTCTGGACAAAGACACAGGGCAGCATGTGTGGCACACGTGGGTTCCCTGACAGAGCCTGCTCCAGGCTGCACGGCTCCTCATGCCCTTGCTCCTGAAGCTCCTGGCTGGTGTGGGCAGTCCAGACACAGGGTAGGTGCTCAGTCAGCAGCAACAGCAGTAAGTAGTAGCTCAGGCCTGCTTGTCTGTCTGTCTGTCTGTCTGTCTGTCTGTCTGTCTCTCTCTCTCTCTCTCTCTCTCACACACACACACACACACACACACACACACACATCTCTACTGGCTCTCAGAAGTGAGCCACAAGGGTGTGATAACACACATTTCATCCTAGGAGAAGCAGCCCAGGAGTGGGACAAGTCTGAGGACTGGAGGGTCAGGGAATAAGCAAAGTGCTGATGATGTAAACGACTGCCCAGGACAAGGGTCTGGCCCACACCAGCCAAGCCCAGGGAGAGCTCCTGTTGCTGCACTGCCCAGGGAACAAGGCTTTGGCTGAGACCAGGGACCCTGGAAGGAGGTGCAGAGGGGCCGGGGTGCTGCTGTCCAAGGGTGGGGCCAGCCCTCACGTCTGAGCCAGCGAAAGCTCTTCTAGGCCTCCCTTTCCTAGGCGGTATCTTGCTAGGTCCTTCCTGGTCACCAGCCCGACCACCTGCAGGAATAATACCAGGTCAGAGAGTCCACAGAATCTACAGGACTTCTACTCCATGTGATGGTGTACTCCACATACTAGTTCTAAGTAGGTGTACAATATCAGGCTAGGTCCCAAGGCTTACTGTCCTGAGACAGACACAACCCAATGTCCACCCACAACCTAGCAAGAATACAGAAAGCAGAGTATGAACACAGGAAGCTGTCCAGCTCCAGCAATCTCCAGCAGGACAGATGCCAGTCTTACCTGATTGTGGTTGTCCACTACCACCAGGTGTCTCAGGCCCAGAGCCCGGAACAGCTTGAACACTCGAGGAAGAGATGCCTCCTGCAAGGTAATCAACTGCCTTTAGCCCACTTTAGCCCACCATGGGAAGAGAGTCAAACCCCCAGACCAAGCATTTCAAGGGTACTAAGCTGTTCCTTCCCCTCCATGCCTGACCCTAAGGCCCTGTGTGCTGCTAGTGGGGTTCTCTGTCACTCACTACCACCCAAAGTCCAACTTTTTTCAGGCTGTCCCTAATACATTCTGGTCAGATGGCCCATCTCAGGACACAAGCCCTACTTGCACCATCCCTGAAGGCCTCCTCTGCCTGGCAGCAATTACTCCACAGACTCCAGAGGCTCCTTACTACCTTTTCAAAGTACAAGGCATCAGACCATACCCCAGCCCTGCTTCCAACTCCTTTGGATCAATAAGTACCTGAGGCACAGTGTAGGGAGAAGGGTTCATGAATTCAGAAAGGTCCATGGTGCACTCGCGCTCATCCTGGGATACGTGGATAGACTGGATTGGGGGGAAGCGTGGATAGGCATCACGGAAGTCCTTCAGCCTCAGCCGCCGCTGCACCAAACCCATGTTGGACCTCTCCACAAACACCTGCAGGGAGCAGCCAGTTATGTGTCTGCCACTGTGAAGGATGGTGCCCAGGACACGTCCACCCATGGGCTGTTGGGTTTACCTTGTGCTTCAGGAGCACGATGAGCTGGGAACGCAGGATCAAGCCTTGGAGCCTGGCTGGCTGCAGGAGAGGAAGGTCAGAGGCCTTGAGACCCAGTGGGAAACTTTGGCCAACCCCATTCTGGCTAGATTTCCCTACTGGCCCATGGCTGCTGGTTAGTGGTCACCTCTAAGCCTAGGCATTGAAGTGGGCATCTCTCACACACAATCCTGCTAAGTCCCTAGAGCCTCTGACACAGGGCCTTCCAGCAGAGCATGGAAGTCATGCTGAGAAATAAATCAACAGGTAGCAAAGTGCAGCCCAAGTGCATCCCTTTCAAGCCATCGGTGCCAATGTCCAACATCCTAGCAGGGTAAGACCTCACCAGCACCTCTGACATGTCACAGTCACCAACTGCATGACTAAGAAGTCCAGTTAGAACCACAGAAGGCCTGTAGTCTGCAGAGGACAGCCCAGCTAAGAGAATACTTTAATCTACCTGAGGGGACAGTCTATCTGAGAGAGAACTTTATTACTCTTCATGAAATACAAGATTTCCTGTTCAAGAGCTGGAGAAATGCTCAGTGGTTAAGAGAACTTGATGCTCTTGCAGAAGACCCAGGCTTGATTCCAAGCACCCACATGAGACCTCACACCATCTATAATGCCAATTCTAAGGAGATCTCTTGTAGCCTTTGCAGGCACCAGTCATGCATGTGGCACACATACATACATGCAGGCAAAACATATAAAGAGAATAAAAATAAACTCTTAAAGTTTTTTGTTCAGGTGAACTACGTAACAACCCCCTTCCGACATGTGCTGCTCACAGGCAGAAAGTAAAAAGGAGCTGACATTCAGAGAGGTGCCCACAGTACCTGGGTGTCTCCTACATCCTCTACCACAGGGAATCCATTGTGATTAGATGCTGTGTCGCTCAGGACATCCACGATGATGCCAACCTTCTCTCTCCTCCTCAGGCAGGTCACAGGTGTGCTCATTACTTCCCTGCCAAGAGGCCCAACCCAAGGTGAGTTATACTCACACCCCAAGCTGTCAGGTACTTAACAGCTTTTATACCATGTGAATACCTGACCGACATGAAGCCATCAGACTTGGGACTCCAAGTCTGGGGAACTGGGAGACCAGCCATGGACTGGGCACAGTGGGAATGCTGGTTCCTGGGCTCTCCGCTGGCATTCAGTGTTTCCCCTGTCCACATCCACCCATAGCACCCAGGGACACAAAAGCGTAACAGGTCAGCTGGCCATACCTGGCAGTGAGCGAGTGAGAGGTGACCGGGGCCTCCCAGTGTAGGAAGGGCACACTTTGCAGCTGGATGTGCATGTCATAGAGGCCCTGGGTACAGAGTCATGATTCAGGACACTGACCAGGGGTCCTTATGGCACACTGCCTCCCACAGGGCCTACTACTACTCTACTTCTGAAGAAAGCCATATGGGGATGACTCAATGAGCCCCTTCCTTTTGCAGTTGGTGTAAGCCCCTTAAATCCCAGTGCTAGGCTACAAGGACAATATCCAGGGTAAGCAGAGGACAAACCACCCCCTCATGCTGCGCACCTCAATGAAGACATCACCCACAATCTTGGCAGTCATCAGCACCAACATGATGGGAAAACCGTAGGTCACGTTGCTGGTGGCCTCCATCATGATGACTGTCAGGCTAAGGGTCATCCTCACGATCCCACCTGTGGGGTAATCATAAGCCCCTATCCCTCTAAACACACAAGTCTCAGCTCTGCCGTTCCTGCAGTCTTTACCCACCCATCTTCCCAGGCCACGGAGGCAAGGATGCTAACTGCCACTGCCACCTGTCTGTGCTACGGGACTGATGGCCTCACCTGCCTTGCTTCCAATTCTGCTCACATAAATGGCAAAGGGTAGCTATGGTGGAACGTACAGTGGGTAGGCAGGGTAAAACTGAGGCTAACTCACCAAAGGAGGCAAGAGCTGGGGCTTACCGAGCTGAGCAGCAGCTCCCATCAGGGCGTATTTACCCGGATCTGCCCAGATCTGTGGGGGCAACAAGGGTGAGCATCAGACAGTGGCAATCCTTACCCAACTTGCCAGGGCACACTAGTGAAGAGCTAGGCTTGGGCACAGTGATCCACACACAGGACATACTACTCCAGTGCCTGGCTACAACCGGTATGCAAACACTCTAGCTAGGTGTGCCATGTATAGGGACAAGGTACACAGACTATGCCACCTGCCCACACCCATGAGTTCAGAAGGCTGTGCTTTTGCCAAGGAATATACAGACAGTGAGGACAGCAGACAAAAGTATGTACAAGGTGTCACTGCCCATGTCCATGACGACACTGAATCATCCAAGGAAAGGCATTCAGCTGTGAAGAAAAAGCTCCTAGAACATGTCACAACACAGATGAAACAATCAGATGTCACACGCAGTTAGAAACTGCAGGCATGTGAGGGTGTACACTGTGTACCCTAGGAAATGTTGGCAGCTGGGCGGTGGTGACGCATGCCTTTAATCCCAGCACTTGGGAGGCAGAAGCAGGTGGGTTTCTGAGTTCGAGGCCAGCCTGGTCTACAGAGTGAGTTCCAGGACAGCCAGGGCTACACAGAGAAACCCTGTCTCGAAAAACCAAAAAAAAAGGAAATGTTGGCAACAGATGAACAACACCAACGGGAAGCAGAGACTGGTAGAACCGAGAGAGGGAAATGGGAGTGACTGCTATACAGTGTGGCTCCTTTCTAGGTGAAGAACGAACACTGAAGCTGGAAGAGATGGTGGCACAATGCCCTCAACTGTTTAGGGATGAACCACATCTCAGAACACAGAACCCAACCAAAGCAGATCTAGACAGGCGGATCAGACCTGGGCCTGAGGACAGGAGAGGGGCGGCTACAGGCTTCCAGCTGCTATCCCTTCTGTAGTTTGCCAATCTGTTTCCCCCTTTCCTTTCCTAATTTATTTACTTATTTATTTAATCACCCCCTTTTGTTTGTTTTATGAGACAGGGTTTCTCTGTGTAGTCCTGTCTGTCCTTGAACTCACTCCACAGACCAGGCTATCCTCGAACTCACAGAGATCCACCTCCTGAGTACTAGGACTAAAGGCACACCCTACCATGCCCAGCATAACCTCTCAATATGATCAAACTGGTGAGAAAACACATACATATCAAAACCACCCAGCGGCTGGTGAGGCCTACATGCAGGTCAGTGCTAGATGGACCCGGGCCCGTCTCCCTGTTATATTCTCACTCATCTCCCTGACATGTCTCCACAGTTACATCATGTGGCTATTCCATGGCATCAGAGCTTTTGCCTAAATGTACCATGTGTCCAAATCCCACCTGTGGTGGCCCCTAGACCTAGGGCCACCAGGAACACTTGAGTAGTATAGCTCTGGCATGCTTCCCTGAACTCACCGCTGCCCCTGTGAGGTAAGACAGGGAGATGCCAAAGAGTCGGCCCCAGGCAGCCCCAATGAGCAGTGATGGGATGAAGACACCAGCAGATACTGTGAGGCCATAGGTCCAGCAGGCCAGGAAGAAGTAGACCAGGGTGAACAGGCCGAGAGTCATGGGATTATAGGAGCCTAGGGAAAGGAAGGTCATTTGGCTGGGACTCAGGCTTGTGCAGGGATTTCCTGCCTGCCATGGGCTCCCATCCTGAGAACCCGGCCACCAGAGCCCAGATTCCAGTGGTCTCCGGAAAGTTCTGTATTCTCAGCTTCTTCAGGTGAAGGGTAGGTCCCATCAGAAGTCCTGGTGATCCGAAGTACACCTAGGTGACCTCAAGATGGCAGCATAGGTGTCAAATTCAGGACCTATAATGCCAACACCAACCCCCCCTCCCCCACCCCCCAATGAGCAACAGTCTGAAGTCAATATGCCCTGCCCCATGTAGAGGCTGTTCTCTAGCACAAAGAGGAAGCCCAGGCTCCTGAGAGCAACAGCAGACTTCCAGCTCAGCTGGACTCAATCAGTGTCACTTCACATATGCTAGCTGCACTAGGACAGCTTCCCCTAGCCTGAGCCTGACCTGAGCCTGGGAGCCCTGCAATAGTTAGCAGTTCATGGAAAACACTCACCAGAGGTGAGAGGTGACCAAGACATGTTCTATTGGGCCCCCAAAGCACTCCTAGCCACTGTAATTCAGTGGCCAAACTCCAAGACCTGGGAGGTATGTCCTGCCCATACAAGACAAGATGATGAGGCTGTCCATGTGGGTGAGAAACCAGAGAAGGCCAAAGAGAGAGGAACCACAGCGGCCTATGTGAAGGCCAGGGTCGGGGATGTGCCACCAGTCTGTGTGGCTAACCATGGCACAGGTTACTCATGTTAGCAGGAACAAGTCATTAAGGGCAGAGATCCACATGTGTAAGGTCACTGGGTTATTCTATGGCAAATTTATCCATTAATTTTCATGATTCTTTCCTATGGACAGCCCCTACCCCCGGAAGTCCCCAGTAGCTTTATGACCGAACACAATTAAAAACAACTATCCCCATAAGTAAGGTGTATGTCAAGGTTAACTTCAGTTGTTAATTTGATATACTTGTCAACAGGGAACTAAGGAATTGCCTCCAGGTGTAGACATGTCTGTTGGGCATTTTCTTGTTTGCTAATTGAAGTGTGAAGCTCCAGCATACTGTGGGCTGTACTATCCCTGGGCAGGTTGGCCTGGAATGTGTAAGGAAGGTGTCTAAGCAAGCCAGAAATCAATGTTTCCCCATGGTCTTTGCTTCAATTTCTGCCTCAGCTTTCCTCAAAGATGGACCATAACCTGAAAGCTAAATGAACCCATTCCTTCTCAAGTTGGCTTTGGTCAGTGTTTCATCAACAACAGAGGGCACTAAATAGTAGGGGAGGAGCTAGAGACACAGGCCTAAGGCTGCTCAGCTCTGCTTGGGCCTAGTGTGTAGGGCTTAGCTCTAGGTACTACAGGGGTACGGCTGAGCCAAGAAGGGCCTGGGCTTGGAGTCCTCAAGCTAGGTTTTCTGCTGGAGAGAAAGATGGAGGTAACCCAGGTGACTATCCTTAGGAAGAAAGGTGAAGATGGGGAGCTCAGGCAGTCCCTCTCTGGTGCCACCAGGTACCTCAGAGAACCCAGCTGTCCTGTACTCCCCTGTCTCCTACTCTGTCTGCAGTGTTGGTTTCTGCACACCTTACCACACCAGAGATGGCTCCTTAGCACAGGGCAGTAACTTCTGAACCAAGAGCTTGTCCACTGTCTATAGCAAGCTGCAGCCATGCTGACTGCACATACCTGGTGGGTCATGGAACAGGCTGACAACGCTCTTCTCAGGGGTGTTAAAGAAGGCTGCGGCCATGGAGTTGTATTCGCCATCTGCACAGAAGAGCTGCAGAGTTGAGAAAGGACACAGAGGGAGAGATGGCCACAGGGCAGATGCTGTGCGGCTGAGTGCTGCTCATGTACCCTGCATCTGGAGAGCACCAGACAGGATCTGGGCTCAGAACCCAGCCCAAGGTTAAGTTCAGACAGGGTTTCACTGGTATGACCACCTCTCTGGGAGATGGAGGTCTACCTGTCCCTGCCACCCAAAAGGAACAGGAACCTAAGAACTTCATGAGGAGTGCTTCACAATCAACAGTGGGACACTAGTCCTGGGAACCAGTAGGCCCAGTCTTCTCAGCTGAGAACTATTTTACTATATGGAGGGACACATCATTTGTCTGAGAACAGAGACAGCTCTCAGTGGGGGTCTTTATGAGCTGCTACAAGTATCTGTATATGGTTTCTGTATGGTTACAGGTAAGCATTTCTCTAATCTATACTGAGCTTCATTCTAAAACTCTCTTCAGGAAGTGCCTGGAAAGGACTCTGGTGAGATCAGTCAAGTACCCATCTCCCAGGCACCTGACAGACAGCCTCAGCTTTCCATGGGACCCTACATACAGAGCAAGCCTAAGGCCTGCTAGCATGGTTACCTCTGGGAAACGAGAGGTCTGCGGTTGGTCCTGCTCACAGGGCCAGCCCAAAGCTTATGCCTACCTGGAGTGGGTAGGACATGGAGCTCCCCTGCAGGGGCTGGCAATCTCGAGATGAGTAAATCAAGACAAATGCAACTGTGGCTGTGACAGCAGCCACCAGCATGGCCTCAATCACTTGGAGGCAGGGCCGGTGGATGTACCTAGAGACCAAAATGGACTTTGTTGCAGGGATGGCTGGGATAGTAGCCTCACCTGCCCTGCCCCTGGCAGTTGCCAGGGAAACCTGACCCAGAACCGACTGATGAGAGGATAACACAACACAGGTTTAATGATCAATCGGCCCAGACTCCTGGGGTTATCTTTCTCCCCGTGGCTATAGATGTCTCAGTATCGACTCACCCACCCTGCTCCACCACCATGGCAGCCAAAACCAGTGCAAAACACAGATAGACACACCATGAGCCCAAGACATTCCCTAACAACTTGACTGTTTCTTGTCTAATAAAAGGACTGGCACCCCAGGCAGAAGGTGGGCAGCATGACTTTGTTCTCTGTGACAAATTTTATCTGCTAACTTTCACAGACCCCAGTACCTGAGGAACATTTCTCAGAGGAGGTGCCTCCTCCTCTCTTTCCACTTGCACTTACTTGTCTCTCTGCCCCAGGCCACACATTCTCCACCTGTCCTGAGCAGCTAAGCTGGACAGACCTTCAGGGAAGGACCCTTACTGACAAGGCCTCCACAATTTGTCCATTTCCTGCACCCAGTAGTGCTGTACCTGTCAATCTGGCACACAAAACAAGGTTCTTACCTGATTCGAAACATGGTTAGCCAGTAATTCAAGGCATTGAACACAGCTCCAAGAATGCCACCTGTAACAAGAAAAGAGACTAATGTTAGTTTCACAAGGAGAACAGTGAAGTTCTCAGAGTGGGAGGCCCTGGTGAGGGTGCACTGTCAAATGGCTTCACAGGCATGGCCACTAAGGCTGTCCTGCCTTCTACCCAGCTTTGTACAGAACAGCATGAGCCTCCATGCCTCACTCAGAACCCAAACCTTCAATCTCTGAGCACAGACATGACCTTCAGGTAGAAATCTATACTTGACCTCTGTATCAAGTACAAGGTGTAAACAGTTTTAAAGCTTGGGTCCCTTCCCCAAAAATCTCATTTTATTTATATATGTAAATGTTCTAAATTCCAGAAGGAGGAGGGGAAGGAGGAGGAGGAAGAGGAGGAGGAGGAGGAGGAGAGGAAGAACAAGAAGAAGAGGAAGAGGAAGAGGAAGAGGAAGAAGAAGAAGAAGAAGAAGAAGAAGAAGAAGAAGAAGAAGAAGAAGAAGAAGGAGAGAGAGAGAGAGAGAGAGAGAGAGAGAGAGAAAGAGAGAGAGAGAGATTCATGAACCAATTCAAACCCTGAGTATTTTGGATAGGAAATTCTCACTCTGTAGATGTCGTAAAGGTCCCCCTGTACCCCTCAGGGAATCTCAATCCAAGTCTGGAGCTTTGCCCAAGTAGAATTAAAGCTCTGGGGTCTAAGGTGCCCACCCCTGCCTGCATCTGCATAATAACTCTAACAGCGTGATGCCTAGAGGTGAGGAGTGGAGATCTTCACCATGGTAACTGCAGACCTGCACCACTTTGGAGCTGGGAGTCCATCCTCCCCAACACAGGTTCACTCTGGTCCACACTACAGGGAGGGGCCCTTACCCACCACACCCATGGCGATGAAGACAGGAATCTCATGGATGGTGTAGGCCATTTTCTGTGCAGAGGGGAGAAAGCAAAGGCTTTGAGAAACTGCTGCTTAAGTTACAGGACTGGACAGGAGCTCTGCCTACATGCACAGAACCTTCTAGCACTTTTGTCAGAACCAGAGGTTCCATGAGTGAGGTAAATGGTCTCTGAGAAGACCTTATGCCCATGGCCCTTCATGGCTGAGCTGGGTTGGGTTGGGTGGCTTGTGCAGCCATCTCATACTGCAGCTGTGGTACACTCAGAGCTGGAGCAGATCCCTGTGCACACCTCAGTACTGCATAGCCCTCAAACTGACAAGCAAGACTTCAACAGCCCTACTCAGAACTATATTTTCCCAAAGCCACAGTCAAGTTTCAGCCTTATCCCAACAGGCTTCTCAGGTGACACCAGAAAGGGCAGTGTGGCTAGCAAATTACCTCTGAGTCAAATCTTCCAAAATTTATGAGGCCAGGGCTGGACAGGTCCCACATGTTTCCATGGTAGATGCTCAGAACAAAATTCAGTGTAAAGGTGGAAATCATGGAAGCAAAGAACTGTTGCAGAAAGAAGTCAGAGTCTTAGAGACTTGTCTGGTGTACCCAGTACCCTCAAAGTCTAGCCCAGCCCACTCAGTACTCAGTGTCCTCAGAGCTCTACCAGGCCAGTCCAACACCCTCAAAGTCACATTTGGCCCACACAGATTCTAAGAGTTATATAGAACACTGTCCCCTGAATCCCAGCAGCAGGCATTGAGATTGGGACTTCTGTCATTTGCAAAGTTGTGTGTCTAGATACCCCATCTAAGACAAAAGGAAAAGGGCTGGAGCCAAGCGGAGCTGTCAAAGTTGGGGTTGTAGCTCTACACACAAGCCAATGAAAAACACAAGAGAAGGTAATGTTTCTGGGGTTCCTAGGAGCCATCAAAGGCAGGCAAGAATACCTAGGACAGGTGAGCACCTAGGACAGGTGTAGAGCTACTGGACCCACCGAGGGACTCCACAACACAAAAGGATGAGCTGACTATGAGGAGTTCTCAAGGGGGGAAAAGTATGATCACCCTGGCCAAGGCACTTACACCTTTCTCAGGCACTTACAATTCTCCATGTTAGGAACTGATTCCAGAAGGAGGCGCCCTCTTCCAAGCTGAATAGGACCCCACCTGGAAGGCAAATAGCAGGGGTAAAGTGCCACCAAGGCCACAGGGCAGCCTATCCACTGCCATTGCCCAACAGAGGCACCAGGGAACTAAGTTCATGACACAGGAATGCTGCTAGGTGGAACCAGGCCATAGCTGGTATCTATAAGACACTGCCCACCCTCACCAGGCACTTATCTGCAAACCTCAGAACTATGCCTACAAGAAAGCCCTGCTTCATCATCCTGGGCATCCACGAAGCATCCGAAGGGAAAAGCCAGAGATGAGGTAGAGCTAGCTGGTCCTCCTTACCAACAGGGGCTCCAAATGCAGCAGATACTCCAGCCGCAGCTCCAGCTGAGACAAAATCCCGCTTCTCTGTATCTCTGCGGAAATATTCAAAGATCTGAAAGAGAAAGATGCAGGGTGTTGTGGGAGGCTCTGAAGGGCTGCTCATCACAGGAAGGGAAGTTGGAAATAGGTCCCATCCAACAGGCCAAAGAAGAGCTGTAAGAGGCAGGGACATTTTTTTCTAGATAATCAGGCAGGGAACATTTTTCTAGATAATCACATCACTGTCATCACCGCAATAGCTACTGGATTCACGGAGAGCAATATTACAGACAAGACAGAAAACAGGAGAGCTGGCACTCCTGTGTACCCACAGCTGAGAACATAACCAGAGGATTCCGTCTGTGACAGTGACCCAACTTCTCCATGCATGCAAGAAGTCTATGAACTTCTTGTTCCAGCTCTACACTAGTGACTGAAGAAAGCGCGGTGAGTGGAAAAGTGTCTAAACCTGTTCTAATTTTAACAAGGATTGTTCAGACAGGTTTGGTGGTACATCCCTGGCATCTCAATTCTCAGAAGCCTTGAGACAGAATCCTAAGTTCAAGGTTCAAGGCCAGCCTGGGCTAGACAGTGTAACCCTGTTTCAAAAGTTAGTTATAGATTTATCGGCATAGAAGTTTAGTGTAATGCTCATCTTACTGCTGTTTTTTTGTTTTTGTTTTTGTTTTGTTTTTTTTGAGACAGGGTTTCTCTGTGTAGCTTTGGCTGTCCTGGAACTCACTCTGTAGACCAGGCTGGCCTCGAATTCAGAAATCCGCCTGCCTCTGCCTCCCAAGTGCTGGGATTAAAGGCGTGCGCCACCACCGCCCGGCTCATCTTACTGCTGTTAACAGTGGGAAACATGACAAAATTATACCATGTGTTTGCAGAGCCATTTACAGCTCAGACCTCCTTGAAATGACTGTCCTTCTGAGAAGCTGGTCACACCAGCATCCTAGGGACTGACCATGGAGAGGTCACGTAGTCTGTAACCACCTGGACTGGGAGCAGGCCAGACTGCCCTTAGAGATGGTGACAGGAACTGGATATTGAGGGAGACCCATAAGTCTGGATGAAGACTCAGCTAAAACATAGCTATGAATCCTCAGTCCACAAGTGTGTGTAAGGACTCACCTTGAAATCCCGCTTGAGTGATGTTGACCTTCCCTGTGAAATCCCAGCAGCGATCACGGATCCTGAGTGGATCATTGGCCCTTCCTGGAGCACAAAGCAATCAGTACTCAGAGGCCATGCATGGTGTCCTCCAAAGGACAGAAACTCAGACTCAGGAGGGACCAGTGTCACTCATTCTGTTGTTACCTTTCCCACAGCCAGTCCGCCTACCACAGACAGAATCACGCCAGAAACCTTGATCACCAGTGTCTAGAAACAAGGAAGATACAGAGTCTGAGTAACCCTGCTGTACATACCTAGCCTCGGAGGCTCAAGGGTGGCCAGCACTGCTGCTGAGTGCTCAAGGTGAGAACTCCCACTCATCATCCACCCCTACCACAGATGCTAGGGCAGTGCCCAGGGCTCCTATTCCACACCCCCTTGGGGAACTCAGTGCTCCTGTATCCCTGGAGGGTTCTGAGGGAGAAAGCACAGTCATAAGCAGCCTTATGACTATGACTCTGCCCTAGGCCCAGCACAGCTTTACCTTGGAGACAATTACTAGCTGGGACTGACAGCATGATTCCTAACTCAAGAACAAGTAGGTGCAAGCACCTACTCCATGGACACCCCAGTATTCATCCCCACATCAGGCCAGGATCCACGAAGGTGAGTACTGAGGGACTATGACTCCCCTGAACTATGTGAGCCTGGTGAGTGATCAGGGAGGTCAAGGGTGAGCAGAAGCTGACTCTGTTATCTGGGCCCATTAACAATATAAAAACATATCTAACTGATAATGCCTCCCCTGGGACATGGCCCCGGTGCAGGAAGAAGGGGGCTACTGGAAAAGATAGCATGTTCAACACAGGCTCTGAGGAAGTCTCCTAAACCCAGTCTGTAAGCCAAAGGTATTTAGCAAAACATTCCAGATTGTTCCACAAAGTCTAGTCAGTGCTGTGCAGGAGCATCAAGTCCACCCTACTCTACAGCAGAGCAGCAGCCCAGGACTCTCCATTTCCAAAGTGTGACCATACTTTCCTTAGGTACAGGGCATCAGGCCCAGGAGCATCCCAGGGGAGGCCATGGAGCATCAGAAGCCAATGCCTACCTACCTGCCTTCTGAGATAGGGACAGGAGGTAGTGTCTGACCAGACTCAGTCAGAAAAGCTGGTCTTAAAAAACAAAACAAAACAAAAAACAAACAAAAAAACAAAAACAACAACAAAAAAAAAGCCAGTAGTAACAGACTGTGGTGACAACTGCCCAACCTCTGTGGCATTAGGATACTGCCAAGATTATGTGAGTGTGAGAGAAAACTTTGAAACCAGGGAAGGAAAGGCAGGCCATCTCCCAGTCACGGATCCTGAGTTAATCACAACACTTACACTCCTGCACTACTTACTGCAGGCAGAGTCCAGTTCTTGCCATGTTCAGATGCACAATCTTGTGCCAGGTGTAGAGGGTCAAGCAAAGACAAAGAGTTAAACAAGCAGAAATCCTGTGCCCTGCCCTGTCTCACCGCACACCTCACCTTGAGCCGCACCACGTGAGGGATCTTCACCCCATTGAGGAAGCACTTGATCTGAGGGATTCCGCTGCCAGCAGCAACTGGCTAGAAAGACAGAGGTGCCAGTGAGCAGGTGAAGTAAAGAGATGCAGCTTCTACAACCACAAGAGCAGATGTGGGGAAGGACTTCATGTCAGGAAGTAGAGGTCCTTCCCTATGCCCAGCCAGGAACAGAGCAACCCCTGAGGAAACCTCGTGAACATGTGTGAAGGGTCAAGGGAAGAGTCTGATGGTCATGTGTCCCCCATTGAGGGGGTGAGGGGGTACTGCAGGATGAACAGGACACTCATCATGCCTCAAGCAGGAACCAACACTTCCTATCTATGGTTAGCTGCTCTCTATACACAGAGCAGGTTCTGAATGTTGTCTATCCCTTCTTTTATTATCCCCACAAAAAAGACAAGGAGGAAAGAGGAACCTAGGAGAAAGGTGGCCTCCCGGGAGCTCTGGAATTAAGATGTACTTTGGAGGAGGCACCTGTGGGTTAAGAGTACAGTCTTCCTGGGGCATGGCGGGTCTCTGCTTGGATCTTGGCACGAACTGCCCAAATTCCTGGGAACTTCATGCCCTGGAATGACCCTTTATCTAGCTATATGTGAATCAGGGTAGGTGTGGTATACCTATGGTCTGGATATGAACTGGGCGGCCAAGAGATGGGATGGGAGTTATACTAGTGTATTAAATATTGTACTACTAGGAGTACAGCTGAGGAAGCCCCAGTGTGTTTTTGGTTCTGACTGAACAGTTCCCATTCATATCATACTGTGATTCTCTCTGGCAGAAAGCCTCCATTGTCACAGGGGCCCATGATGGGCAAGCTAGAGGAGCCTATACTCTCACCAAGACCCCATGCCCACCGGATCTAGAATATCCAGTCTCCTACACACAGTGGCTTTACCTCTATGAAGGCCACAATCACAGACCCCACGAGCACGAAGGCAGAGTTCAGTGTGGCCCACAGCAGGAGGGAGAAGGACAGGCCGCCCTTCTCTGTGAATTTGTCGATGTCTCAGGGATGGTTAAGGACAGGCACTGCTGCACTTCTGGACATATCTGCCCTCCATGTCTCACTCTGTGGCCAGCTCATCTCATGACCTGGGCCATGCCTAGATAGCATGACCACAGTGCTGAGCGGAAATCTTACCGACTTCTCGAAACCTGACTAGGGTTATGCCGCAATTACACCACACATATGCTGAGTGCTATGCATGTCTGACAGGTGATGTCTATGGAGCCCAGCCTGCTGTTCTTCACTGCCTGCCTGTGAAGACACATGCCTCGGTTCTGCTGCTGAACCCTCACCCCACATGCCCCATGCAGAGTGTCTTTGGAGGATACTGTCCTTGATGACTCGGTACTTGAGGCCTGCCAGGTTCTCCACTACAATGTCAATGAAGCAGGCTACTAGGCCTGTGAGGATTCCAATGAGGGCACAGATGACCCAGCGCTTGATCTCCACTGTCCGGAAAGCCTAGATAGGGATGGGGAACAGGGCACAAAGGTGAGCACTGCATCCAGGAACCTGCTGTGCACTGCTCTGGTGCTAGCAGATTCAAAGGCTGCCACCACACATAGTATAAAGTTCAGCTCTAGCCCCAAATTTGCCAAAAGCAGACTCTAGCCAATGTTTCAATGGCCACTGAAGGACACAGGAAATCGTAAGGAGGTAAGTAACATTCCCTAGAAATTCACAACCAGCTACTAGTATTTGAAAAACTGTCTACCATCTGCAGAACAACCTTATTGGCCATGATGACTACAGCCCTCCCTCACAGTTTTCAGTATCTGGGGACAGGGGTCCCATGTTCAGAGCCCAATCCTCCAGTATACAAATTATGAAAGCAAATGCTAGCTGTGGAACCTACAGCCTGGGAGAGAAAAGGGAAGGAGATGGAACAGGAACACTGCCTGGCCCAACATGCCAGCACCCAGGCTAACAAGCCATAGGCCCACTCTGCTCACCGTGTGGTTGATTCGTCTTTCCTCCTCCAGGAAGAGCTGATTCTCGCTATTGTCATAGTCCAGGCTCTGCACAGACCAGGGCACAAGAAGCTCAGTTACTGACCCAGGGAGCTGGTACAAGGACAGCCAGGGGATAGGGAAGAGGGTGGAAAGGGTAGAGCTTGAGCTCAGCAGGAAGGATGGAGAACCCACCTCATACTTGAGGGAGAGGAGCTTCTCGTTGTGTGGAATCTCTTTGGGGAAGGTGTGAGGAGGGTCCACTTCCTGTGGAAGAAAAAACCAGAGTCTCAAATCCCAGAGCTCTGCATTATCTGACACCAAGGCTGGAAGGCACGGAAATCTACAAACCACCATCCCCTGGGATACCTTAGGTTTGTTTTAGGAGAACAAGGTTAATTTAACACCCTAGAAATCAACCAATGCATAGCAGATCTCTGAGTTCCAGGCCAGCCTGGGTCTACAGAGCAAGTTCTAGGCCAACCATGGCTACACAGAGAAATCCTGTCTTGAAAAACAAAACAAGCAAACAAATAAACCAATTACAACAAAACCGAAAAACCATTATAAACACTCAAAGCTGGGTGTGGTTGAGCACACCAGTAATCCTGGCACTCTGGAGGCAGAATCAAAAGGATTGGAAATTCAAGGCCAGCCTGAGTTAGGTAGTGAGGCAATAATAACAAGAATGGAGGCAGCATGGTGACAACGTGCATGCCTGTAGGCACAGGCTTTAGCTCCTATCCCCAGTCCTGGGAAAAACAAAACTCTAGAATAACAGAAGAACACTAGAGAAGCTGACACAGGGTCTGCAGGGATGGATCAGAGGCCGAGTGTTTGTTGTTCTAGCAGAAGGCCCAAGACTGGTTCTCAGGGATCCATACCACATGACCTTTCACAGCTGTGACTCCTGCTCCACGGGGGTCCAGTGCCTCTGACCTCCTGAGGACACCTAATCTCACAGGCATGTGACACTACATCATTGCCCATAGGGACAAATAAAACGACCAAACTGCCAGGCTCTGGTGCAAGTCTGTAGGCTTGTGCAGTTCTAAAAAGATGTTTGCTTCAGTTGCTTTTCTCTGGTGGCAAAGGGTCATGTCACCTGCTGCGACTAGATTTAATTGGCATAATCGACTGATGTCACAGTGTAGACAGCACCAAAGACAACCAAATCCCAGGGGGAAGGGGTGGCTCAGGAAACATTCCCTTGTTTGTTTTTTCAAGATTTATTTTTTGTTACGTGTAGATATGTATGTGCATGTGAGTACAGATACTTACGGAGGTCAGAACAGGGTGCTGGATCCCTGGGAGTTGTAGGTCACCTGACATGAACGTTGGATCCTCTGTAAGAGCCCCTGGAGAGCTTATTTTAGGGACAGTAGAATCTACCCCATGGTCGGAGGAAATGGCTTCTCTCCATGCCTGAGGATTCCTCATTCCAGAGACCCAGCTCATCCATTCCTAGAGTCATGGTCACAGTAAGCTTCCTCCTGACAGAGGTCTCTGTACCGTGCATGTGGCCTCCTCCACAGTGCTTCTGCCCTCTTCACAGCTGCTAGTCATTGGGCCTCAGAGGCCACATGGATATTTGGTGTGCCCTCTCTGGGAGCCCTGCTATCTGCCGACCATGCTACTCTTCCTCTTTCCTTTCCTCAGTGACGGTCAGCTCAGTGGAAGCAGAGAACATCACGCCACTCACCGGGTCCAGGAGTTCATCATCCAGCTCCACGTTGTTCATCTGTCCAATCCGGAAAAGTGCAGAATGAGACTAAAAACAGAGAGATCATGAGGGCCACAGATGAGGGAGGCAGAGCACTACTCATTCTTAGTCCCACCCTCACACTCTGCCCTCCTTGATTGCTGGAACCCAGGTCTGCTCCTGCCAGGTACAGCCTGCCCCTGAGAAGACCAGCACGAGACAGAAAGCCCAGCTCTCCTTACCCTAGTCCACCACCCTGTCTGTTCCACACTTGAGAAAGCATGGTCATGCACCAGGACCAAACTGGCATGAAGCTCTATTTCCCCTGCCTCCTACCACACTCTACAAAGCCATGTCTAGTCTGGCTTCTCTAGACCTCTCTGCCTCAAGCACGCTAATGCAGCCGTCCCTCCCAAGCAGAGAGCTGTGACAGAGTTGAAGGGATGTGTGGTGTGAGGTCCTTGCAGATCACACAGGTGTAGGGCAGCTAGTACCCTTTCTTTAAGGACACTTCCTTGACTGTAAGCCTTCCAACCTGGGTAAAGCCACAACTGCCCAGTAAGGGGGGGGGGGACAAATTAGGGAGTGGGAAGCGGCACTTATGTCCAATTTCAACTATTTCCTGGGTGTTTTCAGAAATGTTGGTGAAAGGGAGTTATGGGGGAAGGCCAACTTCTGAGCTGAGCAAAAGCTGTGTGGTCCTTTGTCCAAAGCAGAGTCACTGTGATAGAAACAAAGTGTGGGAGACAGAGGGAGCTTCGAGGCCAGCCTGCAGCTCACGGACCGGACTGTCCCTAGAGCATCTTTCTGAGCTGAAGCAGCTGCAGTCCTAGCCTCGGTGTTTCCAGCAGCCGTCCTGCTCCCACAGCCCTGACCAAGATTTATTCAGGGCCCCAAGCATTTACGGCTGTTGTAATAATGATGATGACATCATCATCATCATTATTATTTTTATTATTATTATCATTGGTGTTTCATGACAGGGTTTCTCTGTGTAGCCCTGGCTGTCCTGGAACTCACTCTGTAGACCAGGCTGGCCTTGAGCTCAGAGATCCACCCGCCTCTGCCTTCCAAGTGCTGGGATTAAAGGGATGTGCCACCATGCCCAGAGCTACATTTATTTTTAAGATTTATTTTAAAATTAGGTTTATTTGTGTATGTGTCTGTGTGTAGACATGTGCACGTGAATGGAGGTGCCAGCAGTCTACAAACACTGGATCCCCGCAGCTGGAGTCATGGGCAGTCATGGAGTTATGGAGTTATGCCTGATGTGGTGCTGGCCATGCTCTTAGATGCTGAGCCAACTCTCCAGCCCCAGGCACATCTCATGATCACAAAATGTAGCTGATGCATGAGGAGCAATCAGGCTGAGGTAGATGGACAACAGCCTGGGTCTCAACCCTCTCTCAGCACTCCTCCCATTCCAGTCAAGAACCACAACTACAACAGACAAGGAATCCAGGGCCAACAAGGAAGCTTCTGGACCTAACAGCCCCAGAATCCAGGAGAAGGGCACCGCCTCCTTACACAGTCCATCCCTACACTGTCCAAGGACCTTTGAGAACTTGCCCTTTCCAGCCTACAGACATCCAACGCTCCAGTCCATCTGCATCTGTCCATCCCAAAAACATCAGAACCCCTTACAGAGGCTCCTGATCCCCAGGACTCTCTTGCTTTTTACAGACACTGTAACACAGAGCTGCAGAAAGGTGGGCTCTTCCACATTCACCCCCAAACACATGGTAAAGAGCTCTTCCACTGGGGCCACAGGACCCTCTGTAAAGCTGCCCTACTCTCCAGGGATATAGCAGGCTGAGACCCATAGACATCCCACAACTGAATGTATGTTCACCATGGCTGTGAGTTCCCTCTGGTCTGCATCATAGGTTAACTCCTACTCTATTCAGCAGCTAGAGCCCAGAGTGACAGCAATGAGGAAGGCATCCTGTGGGGCAGGTGCAGGACTCAGGTACCTGCTGGCTGCCCTGCCCTTTCCTGTGCATACATAGGCACAAGTTCATGTTCACAATTGGAGGATGGAGAAAGTATCTCAAAATCACATCTGTGAGCATGGCTGGCAATCTTCACCCTAAGTATCCTCAGGTAGCACAGGTACCAAGGGGGAAAGGGCACAGGATGAGGTGACAAACAACTCAACTATTTATTTCACTTGGGAGGAAGGTAACCTAGAAGGGAATACACCCTGCCCCCAATCCATGTCCACTTCTGGACTTTTCCCTGGAGAGTAACTGTGGGTTGCTCTTGGTTAGGCTGTTTGGTCATCAGACTTCACATGACCCACACATGATAGGCAGAGCAAGGCTCACTTAGAGAGGTCCCCTCTGACTCTGCCACAATCTCACTCAGAAAAGACAGACTCACCATAGCAGCCACTCTGAGGCAGGCAAGCTGTGTTAAGAGACTGTAAGCAGGCCACCCTCTATGCCTTGTTGAGGACCGTCTATCTTGAGGGCCACCATGACCAAGACAACAACACAGAACTCTGGCTACATCTGAACTTCATATGAACACATAACTTGACTACAAGCACATTCCAAATACTGCATGTAACACATATCAAAAGTTAGTAGTTTTCAGGGATAAAAAGATGGCTTGGGGGGCTGGAGAGATGGCTCAGTGGTTAAGAGCACTTGCTGCTTTTCCAGAGGACTAAAGGTCAGCTCCTGAATATAGCAGCTAACAATTGTCTATAATTCTAGTTCCAAAGGATTCAACACCACCTTCTGGTCTCTGTGGGCACTGTACACATGTGCAGAGATATGCATGTAGACAAAACACTCATACACATAAGTAAAATTAAATGAGATCACAAAAAAGTATAAGTTACTCATTTTCCTGTAATACACAGGTGTCCTGTATCTTACCCAGCAGATATTATAGAGTGACACTTAGACCACGACCCTTTAATGGACCATAAGTCCTAACAGAGCCTCTCCCAGGATGACTTCACCTTAACTAACGACACCTGAAAAGACTGTTTCCATGTGAGGTCCGCTCATAAGATCAGGGTTATCTTTGAGAGGGGAGCAGTATTTATACCACAGTAGCTTTTCTTCCTCCTCTTCTTCCTTCTTTTTTTGTTGGGTTTTCAAGATAGGGTTTCTCTGTGTAGCTCTGGTTGTCTTAGGCCAGGCTGTCCTAGAACTCATAGAGATCTACCTGCCTCTACCTCCTGAGTGCTAAGATTAAAGGTGTGTGCCACCCCGGCTAGACCACATTAAGTGATTTCCAGGTTATGGTTCACATAGCAACTATAGAGCTCCACTTGTGATCGAGAAGGACATGCTTCTCTTTAATAAAAGTTTTGGGGCCGACAAAAAAGTCAGGCATGCCCTGTATCCTGCTGACCACTGTGCTGGGCCAGCAAGGCAGCTGTTGCACAGTTTCAGCGCTGCCACAGCCCCTAGTCAATTTGTACAGAGATGCATGTGCCAGGCAATGTGCCAGGCCTGAGCCCATAGGACTCTTGGGGTGTTACCCACTATGAACCCTGTTTGCCTTCTCAAGGAAATTCCCCTGAGTATTGAGTGACCAGGAAGAAACCCAAGGATAATGAGGTAGGGCTGAGGGTTGCAGCAGAGAGAAGGGTAGGTGACCAGGATGTTTTACCTATCACAGATAGGCCGGACACGCCACGGGCCATCAACAATTAATTCACTGTACCATAAGTACCCAGAGTCAGACCCACAAAGCCTAAGAAAATGGAACTCAACAGTTTAAAAGGATGATAGGAGAGGTGCCAGCTATGGGTCACATGACAGTACTTCCTCACACAATATTCTTGGCCCCAGACTTGGTGAACAGGGGCCCACATCCATGAAAAAACAACAGCAAGCAGAACTCCAAACCAGGTGAAGGCTGACAGGGTAATGTGTGACAGCAGGACAATCCAGGCTGTAGTGGGGCACAGGTGCTGGGCCCACCTTAGCAGGGAAGGAGCCGCAGAAGGCTCAGAGCTGTGTGTCTGACCAGCAGAGGGTCCCATGGATCTATACACACTGCACAGATGGCAAACTCAGTGCTCTTGTTGTATGTATGAGAGCACACTGTCCCTGTCCTCAGACACACCACAAGAGGGCATCGGATCCCATTACAGATGGTTGTCAGCACCATGTGGATGCTGGGAATTGAACTCAGGACCTCTGAAAGAACAGCCAGTGCTCTTAACCACTGAGCCATCTCTCCAGCCCAACTCAGTGCTCTTGTACCAAGCTACAATTACTCAACATACCACTCTAGAAGGAACTTGTTGAGAACACAGGCCTGCCCAGGACTAGTTTTGTAATTTCTGGGAATCTATAATTATTTCAAAGTTACATAAAACAAAAATTCCCACACACCAACAGACTTTCAAAACAGAATAAATGCATATCATAGCATCTGAGAATGACTGACAGGCAGAATGCAGACAATTACAAACCACCCACAGACAGACAAAAAGTGACCAGAAGAGCAAGGCTCTAGGGTGACCCCTCCCCACCTCAAATGCAGAAAATTGGCTGGTCAATATACAGAGAGGTGCTCGAGTCTCCAGTGAGATGCTACTGTCTACCTAGGGGAGGGGAATAGGAAATCGGGGTGAAGCAATGGCTCAGTGGATAAGAGTGCTTGCTGCACAGGTCAGATTTCAGCACTCATGGGAAAAAGCTGGCTACCTGTGTGCATGTGGACACAAGAGGATCTGTGAGGCTTGTGGCGGCTAGCTTCAGGTTCAGTGAGAGTCTCTGTCTTACAGGAATAAGGTAGTGATAGAGTGGGACACCCAATGTCGTCCTCTGGCCTCTACATGTGCTTGTGTGCATGCATGTGCACGGGCATGCACACATACACACCACATGTACCCCTTTCCCACAGATGCTTACTTCATACACACACACACCACATGTACCCCTTTTGTTAATCTCTCACCCATAAACATCACATACACCCCTCTCCCAAATACACTAACCACACATACACACACCCTTCCATACAACAACAACATCATCATCCCATCTGTTCCACAACTCAGTAAAAACCCAAAAGAACAGAAAGTAGGATCTCAAAGT